ATATATATCTTCATTAGTGGCTAATTCACCGGATTTTCTAAACGGAATCTGGCTCCGGCTGATAGACACCAAATTTAAATTAAACTCAGAACGTAAAGCTGTGCAAAATGTTCAAAAAATAAGTTTTAGGATGAAAGCGGTTTAACAACAACAAAAACTGGAAAAAAAAACAATTACTGGAGAAATTTTGCAGACGTAGTGACGGACCAACATAATTCTGTATTAATGTAAAAGAATAAACGTGAACTGGATAAGACGAGTGCTGCAAGAAGGGGTTTTATGGTCTGCATGGTACCCACACACCTGCGTCTGTCACTCCTTAACGGCCAAGATAACAAGAGCACAGACAAGACGTGAGCCTCGAAACAGTCGCTGTGCAGGAATTTAAAATTAGATCATAAAAACTCTCGAACCATGAGAAACAGAACAGATGGTCACACATGCATTTTTACATTTCTACGTTTTATTTAGGAGATATGACAAGTTGAAACTATCCTCTTCCAGTTTTGAAGGGAATATATTGAGCTAAACTTCTATGGAAGGTTATGGAAGCATGGGTGGGCACACTATGCACTTTAAGGGGGATTATAGAGAAAACTCTAAATCCTATAACAGAGCGACGCTGGGTAAAAGAAGGCAAAAATACCTACATTTTGATTTATAATTTGTATGTTTACCAAAAAGATTTTGTGAGTAAGAAGAGTTTGTTTTCAAAATAGTTAATTTCTAGGTAATTTAKAGCAGGGGTTCTCAAGCCATTTGGGTCTGGGGACCCCCCTTACAAAGGCGAAAAATTCCAGGAACCCCCTCATAAACACCATGCTATTTCAAAAGATAATTTATTCTCATTTCAACCCCTAAATGCCATGGGAATATATATTTTTATTAAGTTTATTATGTTTGTTTCATTAGTTCATTGTTCTCCATGCATTTTTAAAAATAAAAACCAAATTAACAATTTAGTGAATTTTTTTGAGGACCCCCAATGTACCTTTCGCGGATCCCTGGGGGTCCTGGGACCCCAGTTTGAGAACCTCTGATTTAGAGGTTAGTGTGTGAGCTGTCAGATCAGAAATGGCGTAAAACATTAAAACATCAAAATCAGACATGAAAAGACCAACTTTCTGTGAAACGTTTTAAGTCTGTGAAACGTTTTAAGTCTGAATAATGTTTCTACTTTTTTTAAATGCTGGATAAAGCTGCACGTTTTGATGTATAATTTGCTTTTTTTCACAGTGGTGTGATAAGATAGTAGTGCTAAGCGCAGATGCTCGAGCTTTTATCACGTTTCTAACAGGTTTTCTGTGAACTGGAACAGATCAGCTGAAAGTTCTGAGCTTCTCTTTTATTCCTGATGAGAACGGCAAAGTTGAGTTTATGGCTGCTGAACTCAAAGCTGTAATGTTGTTGTTTTTTGTTGTTGTTGTTTATTTAATAAATATGYATCTCCTTCCCAGGGTGTGTGGATCCAGTTGCGACCCTCCAGAGAGTGACGTCTCTGCTGAACYGCAGGGCGGCGCGGGGCCACGAGGCCCTGAACAAGGGGCACGCATGCCCGTCTGCAGGGAAAAGTTCCATGCGCTCGTTTCCTGCCATTGTTCTGTGGTCCCGGAGCCCTGATAAGCCCGGTGCAGGTAGAACAGTTTCCGTCCTACTCTGACCTAACCTCGCTTCTGCTCACTTCTGTTTTTTTTTTTTTCTATTCAGATTCAAGTCTTCTCTCTCTCTCTCTCTCCACTTCACACTTTTCATTTTCTGCTTCTCCTCTCACCCAGCGTGTTCTCRTCACTTCTCCCACTCAGACTCTGCGTCTCGCTCGCTCTTGTCCAGACAGCGAAATGACCTGATTTTTTTTTTTCTGGTTTTGTTTTGTTTTCCACACGTTCAAACTCCATCCTCTGATTGCTTCTGTGTTCACGCGTTAAATGTGCCACGTGAGGTCATAAACGTAAAACTCACCTGTCCAGCGCTTGATCTATTGATTGACAGCTGCTTGACAGCGAGTTGTCTGCGCTCCCGAAGGGATCCAGCATCTGACAGGTAAAACACAGAGACTGAGGGTCATACAGGATGCATTGTTTGTGGTTTTTTAACACAAATCTAATTCATCTATACTGTTTATTAAAGAATAAAAAAATAAAGTCTTATTACCAGACTTTAAAAAAAAMCTGATGATCATAAAGCAGTGGATTTTTGTTTGTCTCTGTTCAAACCTGGACAGTAGGTCACCGTCCTCCTGTGAGCTTTTCCTCATCAAACAACTTAGATCAATGTGGAGTTCAAATATCCACTTCAAAATTAACAGTATGATCTGTTTTAAACAGAAAACATTCAAAACACGTTAAAGTTTATTAAAGGGGCAATAGTATGTGTTTCTCAGGCATATATTTAAATCCAATACCATAATAAAGTAACTATGTCACCTGCAGTTATTAAAATGTTGTTTATATGTTTAAACAGAAAACATCCAAAACACACGTTAACGTTCATCAACAGATCCTCTGTAGTGGACCAGCTGGATAAATCTGCATATTTGATCACATTGTCAAGAGATATCATTTCTCATTTGTATTTAAAACGTAAAACTTTGGGACACTTGCAGGACAGATTACATCAACTGGAGAACTTTATGGTGGCCGTCTACTGGTTACTCTTATAATGGGCACCTGATTGAACCTGGGGGGTACCAGGACCTCAAAAGGGTCAACAGCAACAGTAAAAAAAATAAGCTGCTTGACACAGAGGATGTGGCAAATATTTCATGTGTGTAACCCACACACTCAGCTCAACTGCTCATCACRCAAATGCATGTTCCTTACAAATGTGGYGCCATTTAAAAAGAGAAATTAACAACGGTATAAGTTGCATTGCCATGAAGTATTGTTATGACAAAGACATAATCTACCCAACACAAATTTCCTTACTTTCTGTGCTAAGTTTATAATCAACTGTAATGTCTCGCCTTAAAAGTAAACCTCTAGTTTAAACATTTTGATAAAACAAACCGAAGCAAAGTCAGCACCAAACATGACGGTATTTATTCGTCTTTAGATGTGAGTTGCGTCACTACATTTGATCGTCATCGTATACTCCTTCAGAAATAAAGAAAGCGWTTTTTTTTCCTGCTGAATCAGAATTAACAGTATTTTCATGAAGGGTTATTAGACGTTTGGATGCAGTATGACATTTTAAAGTGCCTGTGACGTCATATTTTTGTAATGCATTTTCAGAAAGAGGACTTTGATAAAATATTGCAAAAGAAATTTCATGTCGCTGAGATGAACAGTTGTTGAGATATTTGCTTGCAAAGTAACAGGAAGTGATGTCAAAGGGGAAAGTCTGCATGTGAACAGCGTTGTTACAACAACCAACAACCCAGACTGTAGAGAAGAATCTGATGTTTCTTTAGATTATTTTGAGTCACTATCAGAGAGATGAAGAGTCAGAGTTCAAATAATATTGTTTCAATAAACAAAGACCAGAGTTTTCTTTGTTGAAGAGTTCCCCTTTGATGTCACTTCCTGTTTCACGTTTGAGCCAAGTTCAAAAGAAAATATGTCAGTAATAGGTCAAAATGGGTTAAATAAAGTGTATTGTTCCAACTTTCTTAAATACAAAGATGTTTTCTTTGACTTTTTGTATTTGAAGAATATGCATGTCACAGGCACTTTAAACTGAGACTCACAGCGTTCTAGAGAAAAAGCRTTTACCACATGGACGAGCTCTTACGTTCTGGTCTGGAGCCTCCGGGATGAACTCCCCCTCACTGTGGATGCTGGTGTAGGAGCCCTGACGGGCGATCTGCTGCTGCTCCTCCTCTGGGACGCTGCCTGGAGGAGGAGATGTCCGACCCGTGTGGAGGGAACCTGGGCGAAACGACGAAAAACAAAGAAAGGTGAAGAGGATCAAAACGAGACTGGGGAAGGTGAGACAGAAAGGGGGTGGACGGGAGCAAAATGAAACCCATGCCACGGTTATTTTCAGCTGAGGAATGATTTACTAACCTAGCTGCTGCCACCTCTAACCTCAATTACTGTGACGAACGCTCCTCTGGCTCAACGGCTCTCCATCACAAAGGCTCAAAAGCACCAGGAATATTTTAAAAAAGTAAACAGTCAAAAAGACTGAATTTTCCTTCCTCAAAGTCCAGCTTTTTCTGCCTCGCTTCTTTACCCTCTCATGCTGTTCAACGTCCCACACCTACATCCCATCTTCACTCAACCGTCAAGCGAGGCAATCTCCTGTCGCCTTTTATCTGCCAGCACTCCACCTGYTTCCACCCCTGCACCTCCTCCTCCCAGACTGAAGAGCAGCCAGGCRCAGGAACTGATAGGGATCGTGTCCTACAGCAGGACTCGTGGTGCCGTTCCAAGTTTTAAAGCCGCGACGCGAAAATGCAAATGTGAAACCGAGGCTGCTCGTTTCTGCTCGTTTCTTGAGTTTAGGAAACATTGACCTTTGTAAACTAAAAGGTTGGGGGATGCTTCAGACGAGGGAGAYTGTCTTTTTCCAGGGAGCAACACAAACCGTCACGCTGTGTTGGCAGACGAGCCAGCGGGGACAACAAACCTGGACTGCTCCGTGTTATCTGGCCATGGAGTGTGACATGACATGAATCTGTCGCAGAGGATTAGTTTGACATTTGGGGAATTTTTTTGTCTTGTAGGTTTTCAAACTCACGGTTAGATGAAAAAGATTAAAAGTGCAGTAAGTCGATGGGAATTTCCTAAAATGTCAAACTTTAACATTTAGAGATTCACAGACTTTTAGACAGATGTTATCCTGTTTCTCTTTATCGTTTTGTTTAACCTTAACGGTTTAGATATGTAACACCTGTGGTGTAATACCTTATATCTCAAAATGTTCAGCTCATTCAGGACAGTGCAGCCAAGACTTCTGATTTTTTACTTTCATCACTTTTCAAAATATTCAGAATTATTTACAAAAATGTACTCTTACAAAAAAAATTGAGAGCTTTAATTTCTTCAAAACCATTGTTCCCCTATTCTTCTTATGCTACTTTTAGCTTTTTGGCTTGTATTTTTCTAATTTTAGCTTTTAGCTACCATTTAGCTTTAGCTTTACTCTTTCATATTGCTAGTTTKATATTTTAGCTAAAGTTTTGCTCATTTTAGCATGTTTTTTGCTACTTTTTGTTTTGAGCTAGTTTTATATTTTAGCTGGCATTTTGCCACTTTTGCCTGGTGTTTTGCTACCTCAAGGTATCATTTTGATTTTTTTTTATCTTTTAGCTAAAATTTTACTCTTTTTAGCTTTTAACTAGATGTTAGCTACTTCTTGCTTTATGCTACTTTTATACAGTCCTACTTTAAAATTTTAGCTGGCATTTTGCCATTTTTAGCTAGTTTGCTACCTTTACGTTTAAGTTAGCACGTTTGGGTAACATTTTGTCACTTTAATTTTTGACCTAACATTTTGCTACTTAAAACTTTTAGCTATAGTTTTGCTAATTTTACATAATGCTAGTTTTAAATTATAGCTAGCATTTTGCCACTATTATCTTTTAGTTGGCACTTTGCTACTTTCATGTAACATTTAGCTACTTTTACCCTTCAGGTAAAGTTTTGCTACYTTTAGTCAGTGTTTTGCTTATTTTAAGWTTTAGCTAGTTTTGCTACTTTTAGTTTTTAACAACCATCTGCTACCTTTACATATTGTTACATGTACAATTTWGTTAACATTTGACATTTTTATTAGTGTTTTGCTACTTTTAGCTACATTTTTTGTTACTTCTAGCTTTTGGCTACAGTTTTGCTACCTTTATTGGAGTTTTATGGAAAGTTACAAAAAATACCATCTTGAAAATAACACTTTGAATGAGCTCAGTWTGGAGAAATTAATGCTGACCAGATTGGTGAGCTAACAGTTGTAAAGAGTTATTTAAAACAGGTCACAGCTTTTCTACACAGCCTCACTTGAAAACAATCTGAACTATCCATGGAAGATTAGTTCAAACTTATGAGCCTCTGTAACCACACCTTGTTTGGTGGCTTTACCTGTCCGTGTTTGATTTATGCTCACCTGTGGAGTGTTTGCGCACCCTCTCTGAGCCTTTAAACAACGAGCCCTTCAAGTCTCCCAGTGACCGCGATGATTTCATCTCGCTCTGTTTGTCCCTGCTGTTCACCTGCAAATACTGAGTAAGAGAAAGAAGCTCAGCCATGGAAGTGAGGATTAACATTACGTCATTACATCATGATTTTACCAAACACGGCCGTGTTGCAATTCAAATGCCACACAGTTTAAAAGAAAAAAAATGATGCCAGAGAACTTGTTGCTGACTCTTATCACGGCAGCTGTGGTTACAATGCGTGTTCAGTGCTCATTGTGAGGGACTAACATGGTTGTTTTTGGGAGTCTTCAGCAGGATCCTGAGCAGCCCATTAGTTCCAGAAGTGCAGCTCAGACTTAACATGGCCTGATCCAGGTCCTCCTGTGTCTTCAGGGGCAACAGCAGCTGAGAGAAGAAGAAAACAGAAAACACATGACCTTTAATTCACTATTGTTCCATGAGGACTGTGTGTAAATGCTGCAGCAACTGCGGAACACTTGTTTACTTTTTTAAACGAAGAAACAAGTTACAGTTTGCATGCTGCATCTTCATTTGTCAAGGCCAAAACATTTGACAGCAAAGATACGAGGAACACAAGCAGACAATGAATCTATGAACAAAACAATACTGCTGCAGGATGGAAATAATGTGTTGGGCACCAAATAGGGAATTGCTAATTTTTACTAAACGTTACATTTAAATGTTATTTATAAAAGGTATATTAAATCTAAATGTGCAAATCTAAAGGTAAAAATTAAATATTAAATTTTGTAGCTAAATGATAAAGCATACATTTAGGAATTATGGAAAGGAACACAGCCTTTGCTGTTGGTGCATGTATCTTATGATGTCATCATCCTGAGACAAAAGCAACCACTAACTCTGCTAACACTGCTAACTCTGCTGCTAACACTGCTAACTCTTCTAACACTGCTAACACTGCCAACTCTGCTGCTAACTCTGCTAACACTGCTAACTCTGCTGCTAATACTGCTAACATTGCTAACTCTTCTAATTCTGCTAACACTGCTAAGTCTTCTAACACTGCAAAGATGGTATTTAAAATTTAAATTCAAAGTGTGTAGCTCAGACACCAGCCACAAATCCAAGTTTGAAGTCTTGTAGGGAAGCTTTAGCAGAGTCAGCGTTTGCTTTTGTCGCAGGATGATGAGGTCACAACAAAAGCCACTCACCAACAAAAAAGGCTGCATTCCATTTTGAAACACTTGAATTTGAACTTCAAAGTAATGTGAGCTAAATAATTTTAAAGTGCCAGTGACATTTTTTAACATTTCATTTTACACTCGGTGCCTCATGGCTGCATGAAAACGTATGTGCACATGTTACGTTTTTTTGTACGTCAAAGCTTTATCATCTTTTACCTCCTTTTCCGTGAAGAACATGTCCATCTGCTGGCCGAAGGCCTCGGTCACTTTCTGCAGCAGCTCCTTGATCTTCAGCGGCCTCTGAAGCAGGATGATTCTGGAAACAAGGAAGGAATGCCGGCGGGGTCAGAGATCAGAGGAAGAGCTTTATGTTGCGTCTGGTTAAAGAAACTATAGAGAAAAAGCTCATTCATAGGTTAAAAATAATAAAAAAAGATAGAAAAGAGATTTTCTTTCTTTTTTTTCTTTTTTTTTTTTTTGACTATTCTGGGTTTTTAACATTTTGTTTTGGATCATGTAGCCCAAATAAAAAAAATAAATAAAAGTGGTGTTTCCATGGCAACACGAGGTAAAAATCGTCAGGTCAGCCGGGTCAAGGAGAGGAGTGAGCAAAGACCAGCAAGATGCAAACAGAAGATTAATGAACGCAATGAAAACAGAATGTAGTCGTGCTTATCTACTGTAGGCCTGCGTGGACAACTGAGTGCGCACACTGTGTCCGTCTCGTCGACAAGTGGATTTACCAATGCATATGTGTGTGTGTGTGTGTGTGTTTGTAAAACTCTCCATGCATGAGTGTGCTTCCCAATCAGTGTGTGCATCGGCCACTGTTTCAACACCGCCGGGCCTCTCTCTCTTTTCCACGCCAAGCCAGCACAAAGGCAGATGGGAAACTTCCTGAGAGGAAAGGGGGTGGAGGGCTGGAGCGGCAGCAAAAAGCAGCAGGATGTGTGTCTTTCCCTTCTCTTTTAAAGAGTGACAGAGTGAAAGATACACAGACCAGGAGATATTCGCAATATAACAGCGAGAGGGGAAATTAACTTCTGACAAAACAAAAAGAAACTCTTCAGCCTCACTGTTTTCCCTTTGAACAGGTTCAGCTTTTAAAGGGATCCATGATTAGTTGTAACATTAGACTTTATTTAATAAACATTTATTTTAACTGTAAAATAAAGACTGTGAAAATACTGTAGGCTGTTTAGTTTTTACAATTT